TTGCCCAGGTGATTATTTTCCTATTTGTGAAAACATTCCAGTGAGAAAACGATTGAGTCTTGTATCAGGCGTGGCTATATTTATAGATGGGGCTGTTAACACTTTCAGAGTTACAGCTCTGGAGACCAGAGGGAAGTGTGGTGTCTCTCCCATTCCGATGGGGGCCCCCAGATGTGGGGCGTCCCTATCGGGTGGGGACTGGCGGCACAGGCGGTGCAGAATTCTCTGGAGGCAGAACAAAGGAGCAAGAAGTTTATTGAATACACTACAAGGGTGAGGCGGAGGCAGGACCGCAAAGGAGAGACTGTCTGCCAGGAGGTGGTGGGTGGGGCTGGACTTAAAGGGGGAAGGTGAGGAGGTATGGGGATGTATGGAATTTTCCGTTTTTTTGATATCTGTGCCTGGTTGTAAGTAGCCCATTGGTTTGTTAGGGCTTATGGATATTTTGAGGTGGGTGGCCTGATGGGCCCATTTGTATTCAGCCAGGTGGTCACTCTGGGCTCTTTTGCCTTGCTCTACATTCCATTGCTCCAGCCTCTACAGAAAGCAAGAAAGAACACACATAGATTTTAGCAGCAAGGATGCCCAGCGGCGTAAAGAGGAGGTCGCAGAAGAGAATTGTGAGGACAGTAGGGGGCTGGGAGGCGAGAACTTCTTGGGGGCATGGCCAGGTAACTAATCCCCATGGTGCGAGAATTCAGGTGCCCAGGGACAGTCTGGTAGAAAGAGCCTTTGAGAGGATGCCAGGGGGGGTCAGGACAGAACTCTAGAACGAAATATCTAGAACTAGACCACTCAGAGGGGAAAAAATCCAGAATGGGAGAGGAAAGGATGGTGATAACATGCTTTTTAAATATCTAGCCAATGGGAGGATTTCCTCCCACACACACTCCCTGATTTGTGGGTGGTACCCAGACTCAAATCTGCGGGCAGCATCAATACTCAGTTCATAAACCCATCATTCCTCAATTTTCTGTGATCGGTCCAGTTTCAGACACTCAGTCCCATTGCCGAACACTATACTCTTTGTACTTTAGAAAAGAATGATCTCTGTGTCCATACAATGTCCTCTGCCATAGGGTGTGCAAAGCCCTGTATGCGCAAATTAAATAGGGACTCTCCTTCTCCCTTGTCCCTTCCTGTGATCCTGCTTGTCATCTTGACTTTCCTGTTTAATTGCTTCACAATCCATCTTATCACCTGAGCCAGAAACCTGAGAAAATTCTGTTATCTATTGCTGCATACAAATCACCCCAAACTTAATAGCTTAAAAGAACAAACATTTATTATCTCACACGGTTTCTGAGGGTTAAGAATCCAGGAACAGCTTAACTGGGTGGTTCTGGCTCAGGATCTCCTACAAGGTTGCAGTCAGCTATCTGTCAGGGCCACAGGCATCTCAAGGCTTGACCGCAGCTGGAGGATTCTCTTCCAAATGCATTTGCGTGGTTGTCGACAGGCTCAGGTCCTCACTGATTGTGGGCCAGAGGTCTCTCTTTCTAGCACATGGGCCCCTCCGTAGCCTATTTGAGTACTGTCTTGACATGGCAGCTGGATTCCCCCCAGAGCAAGTGATAGAGAGAAGAACCCCTAAAATGAAAGGCACAGATTTTTAAATTCTCTGTTCTCAGAAGCGACAGCTGTTCTGCCATATCCTATTGGTCACACAGACCAACCCTGGTACAATGTGCGAGGGTACTCCATAAGGATATGAATACCAGGAGGCAGGGGGCATTGGGGGCCAACTTAGAGGCCAGCTGCCTCAGAGAGGCTTTCCTTCTCCCTCTCCTTCAGCAACGCACTAAGTCCATCTGATTCTTCCTCTGCTGTGTTTCTCAGATATGACCTCATCTTAAATCTGATTGTGGAGGTGTGGAGGCTGATGGGGGAAGCCTTGGTGACCGCATACCTAAGGGCACAGGCCGAATGCAACTTTATATATAGGGAGAAGGAGAGCAAACCTGTTGGCAAGCCAGCCTTTCAGGGAGGATTCATTCCCTCTGCAGGGAAGGGGAAGATCTGTAACAACAGAGTCACCCTACAGAAACCAGGTGCTGAGCACAACAGCAAGAGAGCACAGGTGCTTTCAGACTTGACCAATTGGGGAAATGTTGGGGTTCAGAGCCAACGGCCAAGAAAGAATTCTGGAGACCTCTTTGGTGCAAAAAGGTGGTTTGATTAAAGTACAGGTACAGGGAGCATCTGGGTGGCGCAGTTGGTTAAGTGTCCGACTCTTGGTTTAGCCCAGGTCTGATTTCAGGGTCATGGGATCAAGCCCTGCGTCAGGGCTCAGTGTGGAGTCTGCTTGAGTTTCTCTCCCTCTCCCCACCCTCAAATAAATAATTTAAAAAATAAATACAGCACAACAAGACCCTGGGCAGAAAGGGCTGCACTTGGGTAGTGAGGAATGGCTGATTATATACTTGGAGTTGGGGTAATTAAAGACAAAGGGAAGTTTCCAAAAGGACTTTCATATGCTAGAGAAGACTCACAGGATCCTGGAGGCCTAGCTATTGTCAAGCTAAGGTTGCTTTTCCCTCTAGCAAAGCATTAACATTAAGACCCTTGGGAGTTTCTGGAGGAATGTCATTCTCTGCCTGTCTCAAGTATTTGTCAATGGGCTGCAGGTTATAAGGACATTTAATTTTATCTACATTTCCTTCTGTCTTTGTACCCCACATCACTGGGACTTAAGACCATGATATGAGGTCAGCTCCCCTTTTTGCCTGAGGTAGAGAAAGTCTTAGGCAAGACGCTATCTAGGCAAGCGTCTGCAACTTCCTTGTAAGTCTCACAAATAGTTTAACTCCACGAGTCTACTTAGAAGTGGCTACTTAGATTGGAAGTAGAGCTCTTGAACTGAGAAAAGTTGGGGGATCCATTCTGCTTCAGTGAGAAAGACAGCCTCGATTCTCAGTATCTGCCATTGTCAGAGGAAGCAGGAGTTACACCTGCCATTTGGCCAGTGGGAATATACCCTGTTTCCACTGATGATACTTTTCCTCCTTGAGATCCTTGTCTAAGATGGGCTTTTGGGGATAAAGCAAAACACTTAATAGTTAGAATTTTCAGAAGTAGGCATACCTTAATTACTTGAGCTGCGACAGCACCCCTCCCATCATGCACCCACCACTAGCAGCCCCACCTGGGAGGAATCAACCCAAGTAGCCTTCCTCATTAGGTTCTTCAACAGCCTGAGACTGCACGGTTAACTAAGATTAATTCAGTTGACCAAGGGCCCCAGGGGACTAAGGTGGGAGTTGAGAACTCATTGGTGGGAGATTCTGGGTCTTCTATGAAAATTTACTTTTGTTCTTAGATTTATAATCTTGGGATCAGAATGATAGGTTTATGGCCCAGGATAGAGGTCAGCTCTCTGCCTCCCATCTGCATTTGACATGTGACTCACAGAGGTCAAGTCATTTAAAAAGTTGGCCAGGACTACAGTCTCCTGAATCTCTAATCTTTCCCTGCCCTGTATTAGACCTGCGAGTTATCATAGCATGTACAGTGCTAGGATAGGTAGACTGCAACAGCTTGTTTGCTCTGAGGTCCAATTTCTGCTCTTGTTGTGATCTCTGGATGGCAAGGAACCTCATTTCCCAGGCTCCCCTGTCTTCTGCTTCCTACTAAGTTTGGCCCATGTAGTGCAGTGGGGGAAAATTTGAGAGCAAGAGTTGGTGAGAAACAAGGTATTTCTTTCCCCCTCCCTATTTCCCTTGGCATCTCCAGCAGTGACTTTGTCTTCTCTGGTCCCAGCGCCCATTGGACAGTCCCCACCGTGACTCTGGCTTCTGCCAGAGGACCCATAGCAGCTACTTACCCCTGGGCTGATCTCTGGGTTGGATCCCTGGGTTGCCTCACTTTCCCCCGTTTGGCTTCTCAGCTCTTCTATCACTTGGATCGCCAGCCCCCTAAATCACCTGTTTGTTAAAATCCAGACTGGTGTGTCTTTTCCTTACTGGGCCCTGACGGAGTAGGACCAGCATTCTGTGTGTTCCTGCATGTTTTAGGAACACAATAAATGTTCAGTCATAACGATGCTAATGAAAAAGGAAAACCAGTTTACCCAAGAGAGTTAGTGCTGTGCTCTATTCATTTACTCTATAAATCAAGCTGATTAAAACTACATCATATTTGTCATAATTCCTGAAAAGCAAAAAGTGGAGACATTTTCTTAAGACATCTTCCTGAGGGTCACCCTTGTGCCTTCAACTCCATGGTGTCAAAAGAATGGGTTCTTTTGATCTCATAGATCTTTACCGTCGCTGTCCTCTGACTTAATCACGGAAAGGATCATTCTCGGTATGGGTGGGTTTGTAATTTTTAATTGTAGCAGAATGAGCCCTAACGTCATACCATTTGGTTTCCTACACTCTGTTTGTAATGACTCTACACTTGGCCTTCCCATCACAAGCCCGGTTGTTGTGACCTACAGTCCTGTTTATATGCCCAACCCCTGTTCTTGGCCTCCACACAAGGTTTCCCACAAGGGTTCCATTTGAGATGGTGGTTTCCAGGATTGGGGGTATTTGTCCGCCAGCAACTGGATTTGAGACCACCAGCTTGTTTTTCCAAGCATTAATATATCTCCAAACATATTTTCTTTTCCAGAATGTTTTCCAAAAGGTTTGTAAGAATGTCTCTCAAACTTCTTTTCTTTTGAAGGTGTAAGAGCCTAAGGGGAGGGGCAAGGGTAGTATAAATTTTAAATTGGCAGACTAGTATTTAAAGCTTTATCCAAAAAAATATTTTTCCCTTTAAAAAAAAAACCTCTCTTTACATATTTAAGTAATTCATTTGGGAGAAATTACTACTCAACTATTCACATAGCCAGCCCTTGGCAGTTTCAGTTCAAAATGCTTTGAAACCAGTCAACTACAAAGCCTCAAATGTTTTCTCTTTGAAAGCTCAACTTAACCTTCACTACCATGGTGGTGAGAAAAGTGACAACTCATTTAAAGATTCCCCCCTTTTGTTTCTTTGTCTTTCTTATGCAGGCCATGTGTTTATACTATGGGATCTCCCATAAACAACAGGGCCCTTTTTCCATGCCAGGAGCCACCCGTTGCCATGTCAACATGGCAGGCTACAGTTCGAGCAGCTGCATCTTTTGTTGTTTTAATGAGTGGGGAAAATCCTGCCAAGCCAACACAGCTTCGGGAAGGTACTGTACATGTGTTCCTGTGCTTCTTTCTGTAGTGCACACATGCTGGACCCAGGGATCCAGTACGCAATGTTTTTCTCAACTTTAAAGAGCTCCTTTATGAGTTGGGTTGGAATGAACATACTAAAAACATTTTGCCAGAAAAAATAGCAGGGGATGGGGAGGGGCACTTGGGAGTTGGGACATGGGATGGGGGGCTCTTCATGCCAGAGTTATCAATTCCTAGATTATTTTGGGAGTTGCTTTCACCTGGTGGTTTGTGGGCCTTAAGTGGGTGGTCCTGGTTGAAGACTTTGGGGCAGGCAAGTGTGTCATGGAAACACCATTCATTACAGTTAACTTGTCTGTAGTTCAGTAAGGTTATTCATTATCCCAGGCAATAGAGCTCCTTCTTGTTGGCTGGCCCCCTGGAGTTGTCCTGCTAAGGCATCTGTTCTGCACACTGTTTGCCCATTTGGCTCTGAACCAAAGGTGTGTAAGAAAGATGGAAGGCAAGTGCTAATGCATCAAGGTTTTGTCTGCGAATCACTTGCTTATTGCAATAATTAACTTTTTCAGTCGAGATCCAGAACGTGTTAACTCCAGGTAAAATTTTTCTAATTGTGTTATTTCTTCATTTAAAATATTGTGTCTCCTCCCATGTACTTATTATAGAAACTCTTTTAACATTTATAGAAAAGCAAAAGTAATAAAAAATAATTTTAGAGAAAATGGTTGCTAACATTTTGCTTCATTTCCCTCCATTATTTAAAATCTATATGTATACTACATGTTATTTCAAAATGGTCATCCTAGCATATAACAGTTTTATATTCCACTTATTTCACTTGAATATATCTTGAATGTTTTCCAGGTCACTATGTATTTTTCAAAAATATTTTATGATCTGCATAATAATTTTCTTGTATGGGCATATCAGATTTTATGTAATGTTTCCATATTATTAGACATTTTTATTGTTTCCAGGGTTTTTTTTTTTCTTATTATATTGTATTAAACTCCTGAGGAGATAGTTTGTATAAAATGAGAATTATTGAGTCAAAGGTTTTGAACATGTTTGTACATTTTTCAAGTTCTTTTCCAGAAAGGTACCAATTTACACTCCCATGAGTAACTATGAGGGTCCCAGTTACCGAGAGCATCACCTGTCTGTTCAGCAAGAGAAGGTCTCTCTTTAATTGGATTATTTCAATTATCAATGAAGTTCCACTTGTCCTCCGACGTTTCTTAACCATTGTCATTAACTCTTTACTTCTTTTGCCCATTTTTATTCTGAGGCCTTAGTGAGGCTTTCAAAAGTTTGTTTCATCTTTTAATTTGAATGGCTCTTAAAAAAAATAAAGATATTGGAGCTTCCGGGTTGCTAAATGTGAAGATGCTGGAAGAAAGCATGGAAGCTCCGAGCACCTCCCCACATACCTTCTCCTATGCATCTCTTCCCTCTCGCTGTTCCTGAGTTGACTGTCCACTCTTCATCAAAGGCAGCAGAAAAGTGCACTGGCAAATGGTTTCTTCTGGTCTTCGTTTCCTTCCGGGGGCTCCTCTTGTCACAGACTTAACATTAAGTAAATCTGTAAGCTAGTCTCCTACATAAAAGAATAAAATAAAATAAAGATATTAATCTCTTATGATGTTTGTGGAAAGTATTGTACCCAGTTTATAGTATGCCTTTTAATTTCATATAATGTTTTTGATTTATAGGAGATTTTAATTTTTATGTAGTGAAACCTGTCAAGTTTCTCTTAGAAAGTTTTTTGCTGTTCTGAGATTCACCTGTTTTGTTCTAATATTTTTAAGTTTCAGTTTAATTTTTGTAATATAACTCTCTAATCTCTTGGCAATTTATTTGGTCAGGGTTGTGAAATGAGAACTAAACTTTTTTTTTTCCCAAATAGGAAACCATTTGCTCCGAGATCATTTATTAGATCTTTGCTAACTTGTAAAATCTCCTTTTTTTAAATTAAGTTTTTTATTTTAATTCCAGTATGGTTAGCATACATTGTTACATTAGTTTCAGGTGTACAATCTAGTGATTCGGCAATTCTATACATTACTCAGCGCTCATCATGATAAGTATACTCTTGATTTGTGATATCTCCTTTATTAGAAACTAGATTCATGCATGTACTGGAGTCTTTAGTGAGTGTTAACTTGATTCTCCAAGTCAAGACAAAACAAAACAAATAATACATTTAAAAATGTTTTTAAAAAATGGGTCACAAATACATGGCTTCTTTACAAATGAGCAAAGGACAAGAAAATTGCAAGAAAGTCTTCTTTTTGCTCCTAATTTCCAGCTACCCAGGAACTGCCCCCTAAGGCAATCAAGGTGACCAGTTTCTTTTGTGTATAGTATAGTTTTTCCTTTTTTGTTGCACAAATCATAGCATGCTATACACATTGTTTTTGTATTTTGCTTTCTCCTTTAGAATAAATTTATCTTATAGCTAATTTCATATCTGAACATAATAAAGAGCTTCCTCATTATTTTTATGACTACAGAGTATTCCATAAATGGCTGTTTCACAATTTAGTTAACCGATAGCTCTTGACTTGGGTCTAAATCAAATAATAAACTTAATGGGCATTTACTTCTCTCATCTTCCCTCACTCACATTCCCCAGTTTTAATTAATACAGTTTGTAGCTTGGGACTGATATTATCTTTATACTTTGTTTTTGTCTTATATCTTCTCTTCTAGGAGTTATAATTTTTTTTTTTATATTTTTGTTCAGTTTCAAAACATATTTGTAGTAAGTATTTAGACTTTCTTTATTTTTGAGCCCTTAAGTTTGAATCATCTCTCAGCTGGGAAATGGCTTATATATATATATATATTATTATATATATGTATTTTTAGGGGGGGAAGGGGCAGAAGGAAAGGGGGAGAGAGAATCCCAAGTAGCCTCCATGCCCAGCATGGAGCCCAGCATGGGGTTTGATCTCACAAGTCTGAGATCATGACCTGAGCCAATATCAAGAGTTAGACCCTCAACCGACTGAGCCATCAAGGTGCCCCAGTATTTTTTTTCTGGAAGGGTGGATATGTGGTATATTTTCTGAGCCCTCCCATATTTAGGTTGGTTTTTTGTTATATTCAGTTATGAACAATCCTTGGCTAGGTATAAAATTCTTAAGACTTTTTTTCCCTCTTAAATTGACTGTAAACATTTTCATTATCATCCCTTAGAATTTCTGAGGAGAAATCTGGTATTTTTTTTTTTTTAATTCTCTGAAAGTAGTCTGATTTTCCTGCCTAGAGACTCATAGAATTTTTTTTATTTATGTAATTCAAAACTTCCTAGAACATAGCTAGTTGTGGGTACCATTTTTTAAAAATCAACTTTATTGAAGTATAACTTACATATAATAAAATGCACACAGTTTAAGTCTTGTTCATGAGGTTTGACAAATATATACACGTATGTAATTAATCAGCATCCCGATGAAGATGTAGACTATGTTTGGTACCCTGGAAATTCCCTGTGCCTCTGCCATCTGTCCCCTAACCCCATATTAGTCAACCACTGATCTGAATTCTGTATCTGTAGTTTACTTTTACCTCTCCTGTGGATTCATATAAATGGAGTTATTCTGTGTGTACTTTTTTGTGTCAGGCTTCTTTGGCTCTACATGTTTGTGACATGCGTCCATATTGTTATAGGTGGCAATAGTTTATTCTCTTTTAAAGAAATTGATGGGGGCATCTAGCTGGCTCAGCATGTGACTCTGATTTCAGGGTTTTAAGTTTGAGCCCCATGTTGGGGTAGAGTTTACTTAAATTTTTTTTTAAATAAAGAAATTGATGAATAGTCACCAATTATATGAGTAAACTGCAGTTTTTGTTTTGTTTTGCTTTTTGTTTTTTTAAATTTGCTCACCTCCTGAGAGACATTTGAATTGTTTTTGGCCATCACAAAAAAATATGCTGTGGATATTCATGTATAAGCCTTTTTGTGGATATAGATTTTCATTTCTCTTGGGTAAAAACCCAACAGTGCAATTGCTGGATCATATATGTATATTTTAGCTTTGTAAGTATCTGCCAAACTAGTTCCAAAGGGACTGAATCATTTTATATTCCACTAGCAATGTAGGAGAGTCTAGCTGCTGTGTATCCTTGCAAACACTTGGTGTTGTCAGTCCTTTTAATTTCAGCCCTCCAGCTGGGTGTAAAATACTATCTCCTTGTGGTTTTAGTTTGCATTTCTCTGATGACTAGTGATGGTGAGCAACTTTTCATGTACTTACTGTACATTCTTATATCTTCCTTTAAAAAACATCTCTTCAGGTCACTTACTCATTTACTTAATGTGGGTTTTTAGGTTGTTTTATTATTGGATTGTAGGACTACTTTATAGACTCTAGATATAAGCCCGTTGTCAGATGTGTGTATTGCAAATACATTCTCCCAGTCTGTATGGCTTGCCTTTTCTTTTCTTTAATTTTCTTTCTTTTTTAAGATTTTTATTTATTTGAGAGAGTGAGTGAGTGAGAGAGCAGGAGCAGTGGGAGAGGCAGAGGGAGAGGGAGAAGCAGACTCCCTGCTGAGCAGGGAGCCCAATACGGGGCTCCATCCCAGGACTCCGGGGTCATGACCTGAGCTGAAGGCAGATGCCCAACCGACTGAGCCACGCAGGTGCCCCTTGCCTTTTCATGTTTTACTTATACTCTGTAACACTGATTGTCTATAGAGACATTTTGTTTTTTAGTAATTACATTACAGATTTAAGTTGTTACTGTAACAGTATCTTGCAATCCTTCCTCATATTTTTTATCTTGTTACTTTGTTGTCTTTTGGTCTTACTCTGTTACACTGTCTCAGCCTGTTGTCTTCTCATGGCTTTTTACTACTTTTTCATAGAAGTTATGTCGTATCATAATGGGAATGCCAGTTTCCTAGGCTTGTTTTCATTTCTGTAGTAAATTGATTTCTGAGGCTTTGTTCTTCCTCTCAGTCCTTAGAACAATGTTTTCTTTGACCTTTATTTTGAGTATTT